ACATATGAATTAGAACTTCAATTGAGATAACCCTATATTAAAAAGGATGGAAGTCGCATCAGGCTAATCTTCATATCTATTAATTAGGTTACGAGTCTTAAAAGCAAACCTTGAAAAATAAATAAGAAAAATTCTCAACTAAACAAACATTGAGGGATGATATTAGAATAAATAATAAAAAACAAAAAAAAAAGAACTAAATTCAATATAAAAATAAAATGAAATTAATTTTTTTAATAAAAATAGAATGAAATTAAATGCTTGGAGATTAAATTAGTTTTTCTAGTTTGAAGAAAATATATCTAATAAAAAATTAAAATACATGCTTGTTTTAAACCCAAGTTTTGACTACAATGTAAGATGAACTTCATCCATGCTATTATTTATATAGACACTAAAACACCATGGATTGGAGCAGTGTGATGACAATCCAATCCTTTAACCAAAAAACCAAAAAAGTTGCAAATGTAACGAGGGAGGGGTGAGGTGTGTTTTTGTAGGGATGCATATAGTATTGAAAGGATGGTTAGGAAAAAAATTATCAACATAAGTTCTGGCGGAGTTATTAGAGAGAGCACCCAGTGCTAGTGCTACCCACGCAACAACATATGGTATCTGGGCTGCCTGATCTTTGTGCGAGGTGGACTCAAGTGCCACCTAGCATTTTGACGACTACAATGTGTGGGGCAGACCCCAGTGCCGCCTAATGCTTGGGTTTTGACAAATGTCCGATTGGTTATGGTAGCCCAAACGTCACGTTGTGCAAGGATAACACAAGCGCTAGGTTTTCACTTCTCAATGTTATTACAATATTATTAGCTATAATAAAAAATATTAATATTTATACCACAACTGATAATATTTTTAGTATTCATTCTATTAATTATAAATAAGATAACAATATTTATAGCACAAATAATTCTATTTTTATATGAATATTTTAAATTTTAATAGAAATAGTAATATTTTTAACGAAAATACTATTCATTATAATAAAATAATGATATTTTTAATACCGATTATAATATTTTTAAGAACAATACTTTTAATTATAAGAAAAATTAAAATATTTATAACACAAATTACACTATTTTTACTATTAATACTTTAAAATTAAAATATTTTAAATCCTTTATCAAGACCCACTAGAATTAAATGACACAAGACCTATTAGCTTGAGTGCTGACCCTAGATCCAAGACAATAGATCTTCATTCGAACCTAAACATCAGGTGCCCCGCGTTGAGTGAGTGTGGGCTGGCTCACTCCAAGCAATTGTCATCACCATCTAGTCCTCGAGTATGCACAGTGGCAAGCACTACTTGGCTCATCCCAAGCACCTCTAAGCCCCACTAGGCGCTTGGATCTGCATACTAGGATGGTGTTTAAGTAAGGTCACCTAAGCACCAGGTGTGTGCTTGCTATTATTATTAAAATATGATACTTAAAATAAAAATACTAATATTTATATTACAAATAATAATATTTTTAGTATTTATATAATTAATTATAAAATAAAATAATAAAATAGCACAAATAATATTATTTTTATATGAATATTTTAAATTTTAATAAAAATAATAATATTTTTAA